TCCTCCTCCTCCTCCTCCTCCTCCTCCTCCTCCCTAAAGAAATCAGCAAGTGTAAAGCAATTTTTTTTTAACCTTGGATTCTGGTGGTCCTTGAATTATAGCTCTCAGCATTCCTGAACATGTAGTTGGGACTAATAGAGCAACCACATCTTGGAGAGCCAAATTTAAGAAAACCTGATTTTAGGTTGAATGGATGAATAGATGGCACATGATTTTTGGAGCAGGGAATGGCAATTAACATATAACGTTAGTGTATTAATATTTATTTATAAAATCAATTAGCAATTTAAGGGTAAAATAATTAAAGCACCAAGCTAATTAAATTAATAATTAAAGCATTAATTATTCTTTAACAATCAAATTAATGTTTCAATAGTTCAACATTCATTTAATTAAATCTTAAGGTCCTTTCTATTTATTTGGGGACTGATGTAATTCTGTCAAGTGCCATAGATAGGTGACTGTTTATAATGGTTACTTTTTCTCAAGGATCTCTCCAGGAACGAGAGCCTGCGTGTAAACGGTGATTTCCAAACAGCCCTCTCTGCTCACCCCTGTCCCCACCCGTGACTAAGCGTGGATTGTTTTCAGAATAATAATTTGGAATTTCTTTTGTGCCTTCTTTTAAGGCAAGGAATAACTACCATATCCCCACATTTTGGAAACTTTGTGCAGTACAAAAACAGCTCCTTTTCTACCTCCTGCTCTATAAAGCCAAATGTTCAGCAAGTCTGTTTTCTTTCTGAACCAGAACTGCAAGATGTTTCAGTGGCTATAAAAGCGATATCATTTCTCATGGTTGCATCTTCCCTTGCTAGGTTTATGTCTCCTATGACTATGGGAAGACGTTCAAAAAGATATCAGAAAAATTCAGTTTTGGGCCGGGGAACTCCAGCCGAGCCGTGATCGCTCAGTTCTACCACAGTCCGGCCGACAATAAGAGGGTAAGGAAATAAGTAGATTGACTATTGAATGGAGGAGAATTTATAGTCCCATCCTAAAATTTAGAATAGCAGCCCCCTGAAGCCTGATCCACGGGGTGTGTGTGTGTGTAAACCCATGTAGGACCCACTCTCTGAACACTTTTGCCACCTGCCCCTTGGGGAGTTTCTGACTCTCATCAAATTTGTCCAGTTGGAGGATCACAGTGGGAGGATGGGAAAAAAAACCATGATGAGTCCCAGATGCAGGATTTGTGGTGCAAACATTGCAGCGTTTCAGGGAATTTATCTTTTGTTGCTACCCCTTTATAGATCTCCCCAAATTATTAATCACTGTCAGGTCGCCCTTTTTATTGTCGCTATTAATTTTTCTCTAAAGGAAAACTTGTTTTCCTAAGTTGTTTTCAGTCCAGATTGAAAAGGCAAGGGGAAAATATTTTAAATGGAGAAAAAGGGCATCTTATCAGCCACGTAGCAGTTGGAGCCAGATTTGCAGAATTATTTTACTGGAAGAAAGAGCCCTTAGTGACCTATTTTAACTCTGTTGTGTCGGTGGAAGAAACTTGTATCAAATTGCTAATATTGTTGTTGTTATTAATTAAATTGATATGACACCCGACTCCCATCAACTCTGGGCGGCTTACAAATGATTTAAAACATGAAAACTTAACCCCAAGCTAGGAATTCTTGCTAAGCTATTGCTTGGTGATCGGCTATGTGCGTAATCAGACCTGAACCTTTTAGAACGGGAGTCCCAACCTTTGTTGCTGGGAGTCGGGCGGCTTATCTAGTTAATCAATTAAATTAATTTGAGAGCATGTTGGAGGCACCCTCCCCATATTTTGGGGCTTTGTGTATTATCCAACTAATCGAGTTTATCCATCAATCCATAGTTTAGCCTATTGCTGTGTCAGCTCAGTCACAATTTTATAGAGATCTCTTGACCTATTTTTTTAACCTGTTTTGTCTTCCTCCCATCCTTCCCCTCCCTTCCACAGTATATCTTTGTCGATGCGTTTTCCCAGTACCTCTGGCTCACGATGGACTTCTGTACCACCATTCAAGGCTTCCCAATTCCATTCAAAGCCGCAGACCTGCTTCTGCACAGCCAGCTCCCCGGTCTTGTTCTGGGATACGACCGATCCCATCCCAACAAACAGGTGAATAAGAGAGTTGGTGGCTTTCCATAAACCTCTTCTTGGCAGCAAACGAGACGTTCTGAATCTGAAGGGCTTAAGGAATAATTTCCTGGACCTCCCAGGGTTTGCTGTTCCTGCAAACAGCTACTTCCCCTTCAGCTGGATCATGAGGAGTCCTGTATCTGGTGCAACAGATCTACCGTGTGTCTTCCGTGGGGAGCATCAAAGATATCTAGATGGTGGCTGTGACTATCGATTGAAGTCCCACCCCTATTATACGTGCAGTGCACATAAAAAGGGGCAGAACTTTGATTGCACAGTTTGCAGCTGACACCTTGATTTTTTTTATTCCTTCCCACAGATGCCTCTGATGTAGCATCTCAGCCCCAGGGCCTCCCTGACGTCTTTCTCCCTGCACAGTTGTCTCCTGATTATAATTTGGCTGTGATCATAATTACCTTAACAGTATTTAATTCCTTTTCATTGAATGAAGTTATGCTCCATCACAGGTCATCCCGGTCTGGCCTTGCCTGTTTTAGGAGGGCTCAAATTGGCTTTGGGCCTCAATGATGTCACCTTCCACCTCTGAGGGCCTCCAGAGGTGATACTAGATGACTATACCATGGTTGGCCAACCCAGCTAAGGATTATGTTAGCTGCCCAATGCATCTGAAAGGGGAAGAATGCAGATCCTGCCTCCCCCTTGCCCTTTCAACTTCCATATTTCCACCATTCCTTCCCTGCTGCTCAGCTGATCTCACAGATCTGGATCTCGTGCATGGTCAGCTGCCTTTGGGTTTTTGCTCTGCTCCTCTTCTGTCCAGGACCGAGGCCCCTTGATGGAAGAAAAGTAGCCAGCAGCAGCCCTCCCCCCACCCCCAACCCCCTTTCGGACAAGAATCCTGCTTTTGTTCTTCTTTAGCTCTGCTTCACGTTGTTTGCTGGTGCTTGGAAGGGACAGGATAGGAATCGGGAAACGGAGAGAGATGCCAGGGAATGTACTGGGCCGCTCTGATTTTGGCAGGAGCAATGCTGTTTGTCTTCTGTGGTTACACACCAGTATTTTTATGGTTTCTTTCTGCTCCAGCACACCAATGTCTTTTTTTTGCTTAGCCACAGACAAATCCTGCCCTGGGGTGAATACAATACAGTATTTCAGTCTTTCTGGTCTCATTGAACAGCACACTTTGCTCTGCCCCTTCCCTTCCCTTCCCTTCCCCTCCCCTCCCTTCCCTTTCCCCCCTCCCCCT